GCGCGATGCAACGCAATGCGTAAAAAGACCGTATAAGTCATTATATTCCGTAATTATGTCACCGCTGGATGCAACAAATTCCTCGTTTATAATGTTTTTTTTATGTTTTTGTCTCATCGCTCCATCACAGTATGGTAAGGGGCGTAACATTTCCGTCACACGCTTGAGGTATTCTGCCAATCACAACGCACTGGATAGCTGGCCAATCAGAGCACACCTCGCTTTTTAGACCCGATGCGCTTTGTAAAAATCGACGCGTTTCAGAAAGGCGGGACATAGAGGAGAAACAATAATGTACAGTATGTGGAAAATAATGTGTTTTTTTAACCTTAAACAGCATAAACACATTTCATTACACCAAATACACAAAATAATATTATTTTTAGCAGCATCATATGACCCCTTTAATGACATAACTGAAACTTTCAAAACAAATATTACAGACAAACCAGCATTTTAATTTGTGCGTGCGTGCATACGTACATGCATTTGTGTGTGTGATTGAATGTAGCTCAGTCATTATAGCATTTGAGCCACACCTCTTGATGCTCTTGCTAAATATTGAAGAACAAAGAACGTCCATCAAGGAATAATGGTATATTGTGTAGATATCGCTGCCTAAGTACTTTCATAAATTCAGAGTTTCCAAATTACAAGTTTAATAAGTCATAATTATAGTCATTTCAATAATTCTAACATACCCACATACATGCATGCGTATTTTAATATGCACACTCAGATGCTGCAAGAGAGAAGTGAAGAAGAAAAGAATGTTCACTTGGAGATGGAGACCTTCCTAAAGAGACAGCATGCAGTGAGTGAAGTACAACTTTATTTTATGTTGTGTAATTTATAAAGCGTTGTTAAACAAACTAGATGTGTACTTACAGGGTTGTGTACCTGTTAGAACTGTAGGTACCCCAGTTGGTGTACAGTCATGGCCAAACGTTTTGTGTCCAACCCTGCTTCTGGAGGACAACTGTTCTGTAGAGTTCAGCTCCAACTCTGAATGAGCTAATAAAGGTCTTCATGATTGCTGGGTGCTTCTCAGTTGGAAGGCTGCATTCTCTTGAGGCTGCATCCTGCTTAGTCCAGTACATTTGAGGCTGCTAAATATGCTGAAAGAAGGACACAAAATGAATGCTACTCTCCAAGGATCAAATTCAGAAAGCCTTCAACAATGCTTTATGAAGTGGCAGCCAAGAGATGCAGCATTCAGATGGAAAAACACCCACACAACAAACTTTCAGGAAAGTATGTTGGGGCAGGTAGGAGCTAAAATCTACAGTACACTGGCCCACCAGGAGCAGGATTGGATACCCCTGTTACAGAGCCTGGAATAATAACACCTAGGTAAACACCATATGATAACCTATGGGGCTTTTCATATACTAATAAGCAGTGTTTGGAATACATCTATAGAAATGTTTTAATTTATATTGTATTTAAATAATTTAGCCCTCATTTTTACTGATTATGGCGAACAACACTTAATTTCCCTTACTGCTCTAATTTACCAGGAAAGATATTCTGAACAACAACATAACTCACCACTTAGAAAATAAGTAGCTAGTTGTGACTGTTTCCTGAAACCATAGTAACATGATCGCATCTCTGTTGATTGAACCATGTTGATTCAACAATATACAACTGTCGTTAATGACATTAATACCTTCTGCCAATTAACAGATTCGTGATCGCAAGGAATGTCAGATTTTTTTTTTCAATTCCACAAACAACAGAAAGCTGTTAATTTTAACGAGTTGTCACCAGTTCACCTGCTTCTGTCGTCATGCCTGTCACAGTCACCTCAGCACACTACATTTCCCAGACTCCCTCCTGGTTCACACCCGTTCACGTTCCCAATCACCAGCCTACTAATCACCCGCACCTGTTGCTGCCAATCAGGAACATAAAGCCACTCACACTCCCCAGTATCTTGGTCTGGTCTCAAGGTAACTACTCCTTATGCGGAGTTCACACTGCACGATTTTCAAAGTCGTCGGGTCACCGTGGTTTTCACACTGCACGACTATCTGAGGTAGAAGTCAGTCGCTGCTGTGTTCACATTGCACGATGAATCGGCGACAGGAGGTTACACACTGCATGACTTTACAATAGGAAGAATCGCCGACAACTCTGTCTGGTCCGCAAACTACGTTCCACAACAAAACACACGTGAAAAGTGATAAGGAAATAACGTGAGAACCCGCGTGCGTCAGTTCTCGAGCAAGGCTGGAATTATAAAATATATATATAGCCCGCAAACTGTGAGCTGATTTCCAGCTACAAGGAGAAAAAGAAAAACAGATTATGCAGGAGGGAGATGCAGGGAACAGGGACTGGGTGTTCTGCAAAGAGAGTCGGCGGTAAATAATTTTGCAGTAACTGTTATGCTGATGTTGTGCCTGGTCAAGCAAATGTTTGTGCTTGTTTCTGTATGATATAATTGTTCATATATCTATTAAAATACTGATATTCTGGTCTATAACTCATCCTCGAACTTCCCTCTGCCCTGTATCTTGGTCTCTCATTGGCTGTAGGTCATCGCCGATGTAGTTTTCAGTCAGAAATCATTGCACACAGTGTGATTGTGAGGTTAAATGGGATGAAATGTATAGAATGCACTGCATGTTAGTGTGCTTATTTTGCCCAATAACATGAAGTCCACATCATACTAACAAGAAACTCTACTTCTAACCACAGGTTGTTGTTCCAATCACACAACTTTGCTATCGTTGGAACTATCCCTGCATCTGAATATACTTATTTTCATATATAGTAGGCAAAAAAAAAAATCTGAGTATGTGAGACAAGTAATAGCCTATATCCAAATTCATTAATTGTACTAAAAAAGCACTACTACATTGTAGTAAAAAAGCACCCTGATCTGACAAGATTCTGTAGTGTGCATCTAATGAACACTTTACTAACCCATGAGGCCACAGGAGAGAAGTTGTGAATGGCAGTGAAGCAACGCAACTGATGCTGTTAGGTCATGCGACAATAAAAATGTGGCGGGTAAAGTACATCCAATTTTTGTTTGGACTACCCATATGCATACTATATAAACCACACTTTGTTAATGGCCATGAAGTTTGAAACCAAATGTGCCCTACTAGACAGTATGTGATTTCGGATGCAGTTATGGTTTTGGGAAAAGGCAAATCGTTGAATTATGTTGGAAACAACAGAATAAACAGATGATATCGTCCGCTGGTGTGGACGCTAATATAGTTATCTTTATAGTAATCTTTATAGTTATCGTTCTTGGTGTGAACTGGCTTTTAGGCTTAAAATTCCTAGTTTATACTCTGGTATCTACAAAACCTTACCAGAAAGTTTGATAAGCATTAATGGAGTGTTGTTTGCACACTCTTAAAAATAAAGGTGCTTCAAAAGGTTCTTCACAGCGATGCCATAGAAGAACCATGTTTGGTTCCACAAAGAACCATTCAGTCAAAGGTTCTTTAAAGAACCATCTCTTTCTTACCTTTTTATAATCTGAAGAACCTTTTTTCACCACAAAGAACCTTTTGTGAAAAGAAAGGTTCTTCAGATGTTAAAGGTTCTTTATGGAACCATTTAGACAAAAAGGTTCTTCTATGGCATTGTGAAGCACCTTTATTTTTAAGAGTGCACTAATGCAAATCCTTTTTTAATTCATTGCTGTCACTGAACTATTTGTGCCCAAAATAACTTACAGGAGAAGTTACAGTTTTGGATTCAGCAGTATGAAAAAGAAATGGAGAAGAAGGAGCAAGAGATCACTGCTCTTCAGAATAAAAGAAACATCAACCAGGCACGAATTCAGGAGCTGTCTAAGAAGGTTTTAATATGAAACACATCTGCGTTACAAGTGTATTGTCTCCTGATATTCATTCCTTTCAGAATTATTTTTGAGAAAGTCAGTATTGATAAATACTATAAAATTGTAAAATACCCTTTTGTGCCTCAGTGCAGAGACATGCAATAGGATATCATTGAGGACAGGATGGAGAAGGAACATTTGCGTGCACAGCTGGAGAAGGAGCAGAGGGACAGAGATGCAGCAACTAAGGTAAAATATAGGTCACAAGAAAATGGCTATGAGAAGATATATCATTTTATTACTTAATTACTTTTGAGCAGTAGATGATGCAATTTGGTATTTCAGGGCTTTATGGAACTGATACCTGTATGCAAAAGCATTGCAGAGATACAGACTGACTTTCTGTTGACAACTCTTTGTGGAGAACAGTCAGTTGTGTGCAATTTGCATGTGTACCATTCAGAACTGAATTGAGAATTTCCCTGAAGTTGAGTTTAATTTGAATTGAGGTAGTAAATAGGAATTGTGGGTTCTGACATGTAAGTAGAAACACAATTGAATAAAATTCAAAGTATTTATGTTTATATTTGTGTATGTATGATTGTTAAAGTATTGAAAAAAAATCATTATTTACTTTATATTATTAAATAGTTTAATTTTAACAGCATTGAAAAATGTATTTCACACATCTGGGAATAAATAGGCATAATCAATCCTGTCAATTAGGCCTGTTTACATCAAGAACAAAAACGATACCAATAACTATAATGATAACAGTATTAGGATCCACCCCAATAGACAATAACATGTTTATTGTCAATGTACACTTCAGTTATGTTCCATTTACAAAATTGCAGCAATTTTTTTGGCTGTAATTGTTTTTATTGTTCATCAGTTGGAAAAAAAAAACGGGCTTAAAAGTGAATGACTCAGCTATAACGTCAGCAGGGGTCACTCATTCTTCATTTAATAATTAATAAACACATACAATACATAATAAATGTACATGGTACATATTTGACAGGATATAGATTATGTTGCTACGGGTGGTTGCTAAGATTGATGTGCAGTAATACACAGATTAGGAAAACAGTCATATCCAAAAATAAGTAAATAAAAAAAGTAATAAATAAAAAAAAGAATTAACTATAAATCCTTGTTATACTTGTTTCCCGTTTGTTTCATGTATCTCTTTTCAGATCCAGGCCTGGTGGCGTGGGACTCTTGTACGTAGAGGACTAGGTTCTCCTAAGAAAGCAAGCAAATCCAAGTCTAAAAAAGGCAAAAAGAAGAAGAAATGAAGACTGAGACAATAAAAGTTTTTTTTTTGTGGCTGCAAAATATCAATCAATTACAAAAGGAAAGCAAATATTTGCAAGAGCAGCAGAGTGAGAGTTTGTATATTAAAAATGTATTTTTAAGATTTTTACTAGGGTTTATAAGTCATTACCAAACTAAGATTTTTAGATAATTTTAGTTTAAGACAGAACTATACCCATAGTAATTCTACCCAAGGGAAATACTAACCAGATTATAGGTGACTCTAAAAGGTCACACAGGTTAGTTCTACTAGACAAAGATGTGGGTTTTTAATATCTTCATTAGAAAGACAAAAACACTGAAAATAAACAGTAATCAGTAAAATAAATAAACAGTAATCAGTAAGCAAAAGGTTATTACAATATAAAAGAATGGTTTCTATTTTAATATACTTTAAAATATAATTTATTTCTGTGATGCAAAGCTGAATTTCCATCAGCCATTACTCCAGTATAAAGTCTCACATGACCCTTAAGAAATCATTCTAATATGCTGATTTATTATTAGAATTATCAATGTTGGCAACAGTTGTGCTGCCAAATATTTTTTTGGAAACTGTGATACTTTTTTCAGGATTCGTTGATGAATAAAAAATTAAAAAGAACAGGATTTATTCAAAATATAAATCTTTTCTAACAATATAAAACTTTGCTATCACTTCTTAACAATTTAACACATCCTTGCTGAATAAAAGATTTAATTTCTTTCAAAAGAAAGAAAGAATAAAAATGTACTGACCCCAAACTTTTGAACTGTATAGTGTATATTGTTAGAAGAGATTTGTATTTTAAATAAATACTCTTCTTTTTATTTTTTTATTCATCAAAGAATCCTGAAAAAAATGATCATGTGACACTGAAGACTGGAGTAATGATTCTGAAAATTCAGCTTTGCATCACAGGAATAAATTAGATTTTAATGTATATTAAAATAGAAAAACTTTATTTTACATCATAATGATATTTAACAATATTAAATTTTTTTCCTGTATTTTTGATCAAATAAATATTATATTATATATTGCTTGATGAGCATAAGAAACTCCTGTAAAAAACATTAAAAATCGTTCTGATCCCAAACTTTTGACCGGTAGTGTATATATATACACACACACACAAACACACAATACACAGAGTTTAGCTCCAACCCTAATCAAACCAAGGTCTTCAGGATTGCTAGAAAGTTGCAGTCAGGTGAGTTTGATCAAGGTTTGAGCTAAACTCTGTAGGAAAGTGGCTCTCACTGGCTTAAGGGGTAACCTAAATTATTGTGAGATCATCCAAAATATTCTAAATAAAATATAAAAAATATTGTATTGTATTGTAAGTATTGTACAAGCACATTGACCTGATACCTGGAATTCCAGTCTATATTTTTTGTTCTGTACTTAGCAGATCTTGAAATGGAAAAAAAAAAGAAGTGCCGGTACTTAACCCACTGTTAAGTGCTGTTTTTGCTGCCTGAAAAATTACCAACAAGCTTCTCTGGGATTCAGTCTTTCGGCACATTTGATATACTTAAGATTCTTATTATTCGTAACTTGGGAGGGATGTGTAGCTCCTTCTAACCAGTATCTCCCCTCTTCCAATGTAGCTTTGATTGATAACAGTTCTTTATTTGTGAACTGTTCATCAAAATCTCTCTTGACGGGACAAGCCGCCACCTAGCAACCACTCTTGAAAATCTGTTTGAAAGAAGAGACTGAATATGCTGGGTCAGATGCTTGTTCATCATTCATTCATTTGTTTGTTTGCTCGTTTGTTTGTTTTAGATTTAAATGCAGGAGAGACATTTTTGTTTACTTTTTAATAAAATACATTATTAATACTCCAATACACTTTCACTGATAGAATTATTGTTATTGTTTTGCTGACCTTAACAAGTTTTGTTGAAAAAAACAAACAAATAAAAAACCCATACTTAACATAAGAACACACTATAAACCGAACAGTGAAATGAATTAAATGAAATGAGTTAATTTCACTCAAATAATAATAAAAGTTCATTGGACTTAATTGAAAAAAAGTTCTGTGAATTCAAAATTTCTTTGTAGTAAGCTGAACTTAAAATGATTGAGTTTTCTAGTTCCCAGCATGCTTTGCACCAGACTGTAAGGAAAATAAACGTTGAAATGAAGTGCTATTTTGTGTTGCACAAAATGGGGAGACTTAAGTTAGTATTTAATGTTGTGTTATGTTAGGATTTACAGAGGTTTCTGTTATGTTGGTTTTGTAGTGTTACCATTGTGGTGAAGAGTAGAGCCTGTGGTTAGGTTGAGGATAGACAGCAAATGTTTTTATTACATAAAGTGCCTATTGGTTGACTATTTATGTGCAAGTGTATAGTGAGAGTCTTTTTGATAGCTATGTGCTAGTGTGGTGTTGCTAACTAGCTTTTAACTGTAATGATTTGAGTGAATGTGATGTTTATGTAAGCAAGCTGTATATAATTACCATTGTGATGAATAGGGTGGGACTGAGAGCAATTCTAAGCTCTATTAAAAAAAATATATATATAATATTTTAAGGTAATAAGTTGTCCTAAAATGTTTTGAGTATTCTCAACTTGTCAGGTTTTACAGTGTAGGGTAGAGAAAGAGTGGGCAAAACCTGAAAGTTTTTTTTTTTTTTTAGAACATTACTAATGAAGTTTAAAAACACTACTTCGTTAACTTAAATATATAAGATCCTAGCTGTCTTCCAGTGATATCAGCTTTATGATATGATGTCATTTCATTTGGACAGCTTTTCAATTTGAGCGTTCCTCAATTGTTATTGTTAAAACTAATTTAATAACTGAAAAATAGCTACTGATATAGGCATACGCAACAACCTGGAAATGTCATTATATGCAATCTCTTCAAACTTTCAATATCATGAAAATGGAATACACAAGTCTATATAAAGATGTAGGGAAAATGGTCATATTTGATGGTTTAAAATGCTGTAAAATGTTTTAAAATGATATGGTTAATAATCAAACGGTGTAATAAGTTGCAGCTGTTGGTCTGTCTGTGTATAAAGGTTTTTGGCCCTCTTTGGCCTTATTTTTTATTTTTTTAATCTTTGACTTAATTTACTGCTGAGAAATAAGTAATGTGGTAATACAATATTCGCCTGGTTATCACCAAAGCTGTCTCAGCAGCCTGTCCAAAATCAGTTTCGTAAGGTATCTTCGAATGCAGATGCTGCCTTAGAAGTCATGGGATGACTATGTGAATAAGTTACAATATGTAAATGTTTGTAGACCTCAATACAATGCTAGAATTCACCAATGTAATACAGCTGTAATACCAAATGTTAAGTGTCTACTGTTCGCACTTTTGTCCCTAGGTGGCGCACAAACACCATTTTACATTACAAATTTCAAATACATTGATTAATCTCCACACTGCTGTTATAAAATACAATATACTCTAAAATAAGTTGTAAAGACAAATGCAATATTGTTATATGCAATACATATTACATTATTAATATACATAATTCATGTTAATTTAAAGATTACATTATTATGTGTAATAAATATTACGTTAAATATGGAGTGAGACAAAAGAGGAAATTGAGAAATATGTTATTCTATATCCTTTCCTACAAACTATGTAGTCTGCCTGAACCAATTCAAGCTATTGAAACTCTCTGGACTCAGAACCACCATGTTCACTGTAGTTGTTGTGACGTGTTTGGAGTCACATCGCAAGCCTAAATTTCCTCTCTCTCTCTCTCTCTCTCTCTCTCTCTCTCTCTCTCTTTATCAGACTTTTCACATTACTTTTTAAATGTTAAATGTTGCCTGTATCAGTCTCTGAGTCTGGTCTGAACAGGCTATGCTTAGTTATTTTTGCTGTTCTGCGAAATATGAGGGAGAAAAAAAAAGTATTTGTCTATTCCACATATTTCACAACAGCATTATTGTCACTCAGATTGTTGTTGCCATTCAGTACTTGTTCTTCTTCAACAAAGCAAAACTGTTAATTAGTTCCATTATGTCAGGCATGTGCCAGAGTCCTGTAATGGGAACATGTGACCTGTGTTCTGATCAGGGATCCGGTGTTCCCTGACCGCAGGAAACAAAAACCATCTGTCCCTGTTCTGTTTTATCTCTCCACACCCCCATCACCACCCCATCTGCAAGAAAGCACAGATATCACTGTAAAATGTGACACGATGATAGCTTTCTTATTTAAAGGAATGCTCATTATGTTGATTACAGAACATAAATGTACTTTTTACATTTATTGTTTTACATTTTTACAGGGAGTCTGTATTTTTGTTAAAGTACACAAATTATTAACAAAAAATATATAACTTTTAAAAAACACTGTAAACTGTCCTCAGTTATTATAGAAGTTGGACATCCGTTCTCAATTTCATAAATAGTTTCATTGCCTTGTTAAGTCTGACGTCATATCACTTTTTCCAAACGTTCTATTAGATGCACAAGCAAACAACAAACAATTCTAATATACACTCACGGTTGTGCTGTGATGCTACCAAAAATCATGATCGTAACCTTTATATTCATACAGAAATCTCAGATGACCAGACTGTGATTCATCTTTTATTAATTGTTAAAATATTGGTGTCAGAAGACGGCGTGAGTACAGAAAACAGTAGCGTACAACGTGAGTTTATAAACACTTAGCTTAAATGTGTAATATGAACAAACAGTGCCCATAAATGGCTGTTGAGATAGTGTTCTCAACTGAAACTAGTAGAGGCCTGGATCCAGAAACAGTATTCCATATGTCATGACTTAACAAGCGGATTACCAAACCAAATCTTTGAATCAATGACGGGTTTGGGGTTTGACCTGCTTATTGCCACACTTACTGACTTACACTACAATTACTAAGACTTAGAGTTTGCCAATATCTCCCTTACTTTATGTACAGTGCACAGTATACAGTACAGTATCATTTACCAAAAGTTTTTTTTTTTTTCATGTTCCAAAAGCTGTAGTATGTTCCTACATATAAGACTG